TACAACAGCCGAGAGGTGGAAATAATCCAGGAGTCTGTGAACAGATGAATGAGAGTACACATGTGGTCTGCCTGCATAATGGGTATTATTCAGCCTTAAAAAGGAATGAAGTTCTGATAACATGCTACAACATGTATCAGAACATAGTGTGAAAGAGTTTCTGGAGCAGGTATGTTAATATCGGAAAAAGTAGGTTTCAGAGCAAAGAATAGGTTAGATATAAAGGATCATTTCATAATGATAAAAGCGTCAACTAATCCAAAGGACAGAAGAACCCGTGCTCCTATAACAGAGCTCCAAACTACACGAAGCGAAAGATCTGGAAGAAGAATCGGAATTCCCTGGCAGTCCAGTGATTAGGACTCCGTGCTTCCGCTGCAGGGGGTGTGGGTTCAATCCCCGGTCGGGGAACTAAGATCCTGCACGCTGCATGGTGCAGCCCAAAAAAAAAAAAAAAATCAGGCAATCTACAATTACAGTTGGAGATTTCCAAAACCCTTCTCAATAACTGAACAAGTAGAACATCAGTAAGGGTATGTAAGACTTGAGCAATACAATCAACCAACTGACATTTATAGACCGACCAGCCAACAGTAGCAGAATGTACATTCTTTTCAGATTCACATAGAACATCTACTAAGATGGTTCACATTCTGTGTCATAAAACCAGCCTCAGTAAGTTGAAAAGAACTCAGCTTCTATAAAGTATTTTCTTTGACCATAATTGAATAAAATTAAAATCAATAGCAGAAAGATCTCTAGAATATCCTCAAATATTTAGAAACCAAATAACATACTTCCAATAACCCATGGGTTGAAGAAGAAATCAGAAGAGAAATCAGAAAGTATTTTGAACTGACTGAAAATGAAGACGGCATGCCAAAATTTGTAGTGTACAGCTAAAGCAGTGTAGGGGAAATACATAACAATAAAGGTCTATGTCAAAAAAGAAGAAATGTCTCAAATTAATGACTTCAAATTCTGCCTTAAACTAAACAAAGAAGAGCAAATGAAACCCAAACTAAGCAGAATAGAGGAAATAATATATATCAGAGTGAAAGTCAAATAGGAAACAGAAAAGCAGAAAATGAAATTAAAATCTTCTTTGAGAAGACCAGTAATTCATAAACCTTAAAACAGATTGAGCTGGGGAAAAAAATAGAAAAAACACAAATTACCAATAGTATCAGGAACGACAGAGGTGACATCACTAAGATTCTACATATATTAAAAGGCTAGTAAGGGAATATTATGAACAACTTAATGCCAAACAATTGGACAACTTAGAAGTGAACAAATCCCACACAAAACACAAAGTCAAGAAGATATAGGCAGGGCTTCCCTGGTGGCGCAGTGGTTGAGAGTCCGCCTGCCGATGCAGGGGACACGGGTTCGTGTCCCGGTCCGGGAGGATCCCACGTGCCGCGGAGCGGCTGGGCCCGTGAGCCATGGCCGCTGAGCCTGCGCGTCCGGAGCCTGTGCTCCGCAACGAGGGAGGCCGCAACAGTGAGAGGCCCGCGTACCGGAAAAAAGAAAAGATCCCACGAGCCGCAGGTAAGACATGGCGCAGCCAAATAAATAAATATTTTTTCAAAAGCGCATTGAGGTATCACACACGTATTTGCATGGCTAAAATTAGGCATCCCAAGTGTTGGTGAGGATGTGGAGAAACGAACTCTTCCACGTTGCTGGTGGGAATGCAAAATGGTGGAACCACACGGGAAAACAGTTTGGCGATTTCTTTGAAAGGTTCAACACGCACCTACCATATGCCCCAGCCATTCCACTCCTAGGCATTTACCCCAGAGAAACAGAGCATATGTCCACACAAAGACTTGTCCGTGAATGCTTCCTGCAGCCTTATTTGGAATAGCCAAAAACTAGAAACAACAATCCTTCACAGGTGAATAGGCAGACAAATTGTGGTTCATTTCTGAAATGGAATAATACCACTCCACAATAAAAAGGAATGAACTACTGATACACACAGAAGCATGGATGAATCTCAAAATAATAATGCTGAGTGCAAGACACCAGACCAGAGAAGAGGACAGCTTTTCCTTGACTTACGATGGGATTATGACCAATAAACCCATCATAAATTGAAAATACCGTGAACTGAAAATGCACTTGCTACACCTAAACTACCGAACATCACAGCTGAGCCTCGCCCACCTCAAATGTGCTCAGAACACCAACATCAGTGGGCAGTGAGGCAAAATCATCTAACACAAGCTCTATTTTATAATAAAGTGTTGACTGTCTCACGTAACGGATTAAATACCATACTGACAGTGAAAATCAGAATGGTTGTCTGGGTCCAGGATGCTTGTTCACCCTCGTATCACAGGCTGACTGGGGACTGCGCTCGCTGCCGCTGCCCAGCATCACAGGAGAGGACCAGACTGCATATTGCTAGCTTGGAAAAGAGCAACGTTCAAAATTTGAAATATGGTTCCTACTGAATGTGTATTGCTTTCACACCATCATAAAGTAAAAAAAATCGTAAGTTGAACCATCATAAGTTGGGGACCATCTGTCTATGTAATATGACTCCATTTATACAAAGTTCTAGAAAGGAAAATTAATCTGCAACAGAAAATGGATCAGGGCTTCCCTGGTGGCGCAGTGGTTGGGAGTCTGCCTGCCAATGCGGGGGACATGGGTTCGTGCCCCGGTCTGGGAAGATCCCACATGCCATGGAGCGGCTGGACCTGTGAGCCATGGTCGCTGAGCCTGCGCGTCCGGAGCCTGTGCTCTGCAATGGGAGAGGCCACAACAGTGAGAGGCCCATGTACAGCAAAAAAAAAAAAAAAAAAAAAAAAAGAAAATGGATCAGTGTTTGCTAGGGATAGGAGGGGGGGAGGGGAGGGAGGACTTACAAAGGGGTAGAGGAAGCATGGGGGATAATAAATAGTTCCATTATTTTGATTGTGGTAGTTTTACTGTTTACATACATGTAAAAACTTATTTCCTTGTCACCTTATGTGCAGTTTTAAACTGTTAATTATACCTCAATAAATCTGTTAAAAAGTTTATATATATATATACCAAATAAAAGTCACTTAGACACCTAACATAATAAGACACTTCTCTCATTCTAAGAGAAATACAAACGACAACCACACTGAGCTATCTCATACCTTACCCATCAGACAGGCACAAATTGAGAACACCGCCTACATCCTCTGATGGTGAGGCCGTGGGGAGACGGACTCATGCGCTGCTGGTGGCAATGCAAAAGAGCACAAATCCTCTGGAAGGAATTTGGCAATCTGCAGAAAGATTACCTATGCATTCCCACGTCTTGTAATTTATCCTAAATGTATATCTACAGCAATTTTTGTAAAAAACCAAACCACACATACACAAGCAGATTCATTGCAGCATTATTATTATTATTATTATTATTATTTGGCTGTGTTGGGTCTTCGTTCCTGCGCACAGGCCTTCTCTAGTTGTGGCGAGTGGGGGCTACTCTTTATTGAGGTGCATGGGCTTCTCACTGCGGTGGCTTCTCCCGTTGCGGAGCACAGGCTCCAGGCATGCGGGCTTCAGCAGTTGTGGCACGTGGGCTCAGTAGTTGTGGCTCACAGGCTCTAGAGTGCAGGCTCAGTAGTTGTGGTGCACGGGCTTAGTTGCTCCGTGGCACATGGGATCCTCCCAGAACAGGACTCGAACCCGTGTCCCCTGCATTGGCAGGCGACTCCCAACCACTGCGCCACCAGGGAAGTCCCTCATTGCAGCATTATTTGAAGTTGCAAAATATCAAGAGATCACTGACATGTCCGTAAGAGGTGATTGACGTACTAAGCGACAGCCCATTCCCACGGAAAATAAGGAAGACTGCTGTGATATTCAAGACACAGTATTGGGCTTCCCTGGTGGCGCAGTGGTTGAGAGTCCACCTGCCGATGCAGGGGACACGGGTTCGTGCCCCGGTCCAGGAAGATCCCACATGCCGCAGAGTGGCTGGGCCCGTGAGCCATGGCCGCTGAGCCTGCGCGTCCTGAACCTGTGCTCTGCAACAGGAGAGGCCACAACAGTGAGAGGCCCGCGTACCGCGAAAAAAAAAAAAAAAAAAAAAAAATTTCTGGCTGGACTATTGCTTGCTCCAACCATTATCATGGCCTCAGGCAGCTGAGATACAGGCCTCTACCCAGTTGTTTGCTACTGTGATTGCAATTGTTCTTTGGGGCTTTCCCCCTCCCCCAATCAAGCCAGCTCTCTCCAGTGTCTGTAGGAACTTGAGGTCCTCAAGGCCTACCTGGCTCTGGTGGAACTACCATGGGGAGGGAGGAAATAAAAGTAGTTCAATACTAAAACTCCACAGACTCCCATTGTTCTTCTTACAGATGTTCAGTACTTTTTTTTTAATAAGTGCTTTTCAAATATTGTATGCCTTTGGTCAACTTCCAGAGTCCTGGAATGGTTGCTTTTAACAGTTCTGCCCAGTTTTATCACTGCTTTTTGGGGATGAGATTTGGTGAGCTCCTCAATCTGCTATTCCAGAAATCCCACCCACATACATAAATATAAATTTTCTAGTAGCCACATTGAGAAAGATAAAAAGATAAAATTATTTTCAATAATGTATTTAAGCTAATATAAAAATATTATTTCAACATGTCATCAATATTCTTTAAATTATGAATTCTTTTACTTTTTTGTTTCCCACTAAATCTTTGAAAACTGGTGTGTCTTTTTACTGTTACAGCACGTCTTAATTCAGACCAGTCACATTCGAGCACTCAAGATATGACAGCTGGCTGCCATATTGGACACACAAGGATGGATATTTGATATTAGGAAATTGTTATTTTTCAGGTGTGTTAATGATATTGTGGTTGTTTCTCTAAAAACTCCTGTCCTTTGGGTATGTTGAAATACTTAAGGATGAAATGATACAATGAAACTTGGTTCTGCCAGAGGAAAAATTTTCCCTCTTCCCTTTTGGGACTGTGCTTGGAGGTCCTGAAAATTAATTGACAAAAGACAGGTGAACAGGAAGAAAGCAAAGTGTATTCACACCCTCTGGCGGGTACAGAAGACGTGCACGCAGTAATCAGATGTAGGGGTTTCTGTACCTAAGGTAATAGGAGAAAGGGAGGGAGGGGAAAGAGAAGACCAATCGGTTTCTTTAGGAAAGAGAAGAGAGTGTTTAGGGGAACAAGCAGGAGGTAAGTTTGTGATCATATTTTCTAAGCAGGTGACTCGCACGTCTTGGGTTTAAAACGAAGAATTCTGTGGGTCTGGGCAGCCGAGCGTCGCACTATGGGGGGCAGGAAGTTCGCGCAGTGTTTGCCTTCCGCGATAAAACGGCGATTTCGATCCTTCGAAGGTTTCTACGAGGTTCCGCGCGCGGGGCCGAGGCGAGGACTTAAGCTCCGAGCTCCTCTGCGGGGAAAGGCGGGAGCTCAAGCCGGGCGATACCCGCCGCGAGCGACGGGTGACTCTCTGCGCTCCCTGCCCGGCCCGCCCCCCGCGAACCCGCCCCACCGCGCCGGGCGGAGCCAACCTCCGCCCTGCGACCCCCGACCCCGCGTACCGCCCCTCCGCCGCCGGGCGCGGTTTCCCGGGGACGCATTTCTCGCCGCACCGCGGGCTGCCCGGACCTCCCTGGCGGAGCACCTTCCGGCGGACCCAGCGCGGAGCTCTGAGCTCGGCTGCGGTCCGGCGGCAACCCAGGTGTGGCGGCCTCAGGACGCGGTGCGAGCACAGGAGCCGCACCCCGCGGGACCCCGGCCTCACCCCCGGAGCTCCAGGCCGCCCCGCCTCGCCCCCGGCTCCGAAGGGCGTAGCTGCGTCGGGAGGAGCCTCAGCCTGGCTCGGGCGCTCAGGTGGCCCGGGTCCGCCCAAGTAGGTTCCCTGCGGATTTGACCCGCGGTTCTCGGGTTCCCGGGGCTCTTCCTTCGGGTGGGGGTGGAGGGTGCCCCGCTGGGCAACACACTGGCGACCTAGGTGATTTTTACATGTAACTTAACAATTTCCGAAATTCTCAAACCCACAGCTGGGCACTTAGGCAGTTGTTAAGCTGATGACCATGCTTAATAATTCCCAAACTAGGTACAGGAGGTGAGTGTTCTCTGAAAGTAAGCCTCCCTCATAGTCCGTTCTCCGGTGTTTCGGATTGTAATCGTTTCTCGGCTACCACCTGTTAAGCCCCTGTAGGGAACGATGGCTCCTATAAGGCTGGCCGGGCATAGGTAAGATAAGACAGAGAGGAAAGTACTCTTAGTGCTTTTATAAACCTGGCACCCAGAGGAGAGCACAGAGTGTCCAGGTGACTGCCCTGGGCCCCTTGGTGGGCAGGGAGGGCAGGCATTTTGCAGGCTTCCAGGAGTGTCGCCACTGGATGGTCCTGCTTTGGTGGGGGTCCCCGAGTCTTCTGGGTCGTAGCTGCCTTTTAGAGTAGCCTCCTCTGGGCTAGGCACTGACAGGATGTACTGTTCCATTTACTCTTCACGCCAGTCCTGCCAGGCAGACATCTTAATCCCGCTAAGAAGTAAGGGGTTAAAGCTCAGAGAGGTTGAGTGACCTGACCAAGGTTTCCACTGGAAGGCAACCGGCACTGGGGCTTCAGTTCCTGGCCTGCACCAGCTGACATCCTTAGTGTCCACATTTGTGACCATCGGGCAGCACTGGAGCGGCCTCGAGGAGGGTCGGCTCCTACACCTGCGCTCCGTTGGCCGCGGCTGAGCCCCTGGTCTTACCCCTCAGTGTGGAGACGATGCCAAAGCTGCAGGGCTTCGAGTTCTGGAGCTGTACCCTGGGGGGGGCCCGCCACGTGGTGGCCCCCATGGTGGACCAAAGCGAGCTGGCCTGGAGGCTGCTGAGCCGCCGCCACGGGGCCCAGCTGTGCTACACACCCATGCTGCATGCCCAGGTCTTCATTCGAGATGCCAACTACCGCAAGGAGAACCTGTACTGCGACGTGTGCCCCGAGGACCGACCTCTCATTGTGCAGGTGGGCAGCCCAGCCCAGAATGCTGGCCGAGCACCTCTCCCTGGGCCTTTCCGGAAAAGGCTTCGTGAGATCGGAATGGGGGGGGGGGGCCAGTTCTCCCAGAGATTGACCTCTTCCTGGGAGCTGCCTCAGGCTTTTGGTGAACGGATGACCTGGGTGCGATGGAAGATTCGCAGCCCCCTCCCCAGCATCACCCCTAGTGCTCCCTCTTTATCAGAACAGTTAGAGAGAATGGCTCTGCTCTTCACAAAGTCAGTGATACTGGCTTTCTGCTACAACTGGGAGAATTGTGTGAATTCGTAACTCGGTCTCGTGGTGGCATGGGAACGCATCCCAGCTTGGTTAAATTGTAAACATCTAAGATAGGATGCCATCCTGTGGTCATCCCCTCGGGCAACACCCCCACTGGTCACCTATGAACCCGTGTGGGACTGGCTTGGGCTCATGGTAACTTTCATGTCTCTTTCAGTTCTGTGCCAATGACCCGGAGGTGTTTGTCCAGGCAGCTCTCCTGGCTCAGGACTACTGCGATGCCATCGACCTGAATTTGGGCTGCCCGCAGATGATAGCCAAGCGAGGTGAGTTCCTGTTCTGGGGTTCTGTGTCATTGCACAAGCTTTTGGCTGGGGTGGACTCCAAGCCCAGAGGTGCCCAGTGTGTGGCTGAGCTGGCCAGGGGCCTGGCCCTGCCTCTGATGGCAGCAGCTCAGGCAGCCACCGGCCCTTTCTTTGCTCCTCTTTCTGGAGAGCGGCCCTTCTCAGGCACTGAGGGCGGGGGACAGGGTTCAGCTGGCTGTCAGGGGCTCACCACGTCCTGGGAAGTTGTTGGGCTCCCTCTGGATAAATGTGTTTTGCTGAAAAGTCCCCACCACGCCCTCGTGCTGCCTGAGGGACCAGTGGCTGCTGCCCTGGCATTTCAGCCTTTCTCCCTCACTGTGCCTGAGGAGTTGCTGGCTGGTCAGAGACCGTGTGGGGTGGGCATTCCATTCAGCACCCTTGAGCTCAGGCCGCCGGGCTAATAGAACCTGGCCAGGCAGCTCGAGGCCCATGTCACTCGAGAGGGGGTTGCAGAGGGCATGCTTGTTCTTTGCAGGTCACTATGGCGCCTTCCTGCAGGAGGAGTGGGACCTCCTCCAAAGAATGAGTGAGTTGGCCACACACTACCTGCGGGGACTTGGGGCCACGTTGTGGTTGGGTGGCAGGCCTGAGACAGCCTGGCAGGGTTCAGGAGAGGACAGTGGCTGGCAGAGTCCTGTTGGCTGTGGCAACCCCCGCGCCTTTCCACTGTAGAAGGTGGCTGTGAAGTCGCCTGTCCCGCTCCTGCTGTCCCCCCGTCGAACCAGATAGTAGGTGCTGGAGGGCGGCATCCTCGCCCACCCAGTCCTGGCCTCTCCAATGCCCTAGGGTCAGAGGTGCAGCTCTCAGCTGCCATCGAGAGGGAGCCAGCGCGGGGCGTCTGCAGGGCCTTTGCTCCTTTGGGGGCTCAGCCATGGGTCCCCACACCCTGCCTGAAGGTGGCACCACAGCTCTCTCAGGAGCTGACTCTGCCTTTCCCTAGTTCTGCTAGCCCACGAAAAACTTTCTGTCCCTGTCACATGCAAGATCCGTGTCTTCCCAGAGATTGACAAGACCGTAAGGTACGCCCAGATGCTGGAAAAGGCTGGCTGCCAGGTGAGGGCTATGGGCTCCCGGGGCCCTGCACTGTTCCCCCGCCTCCAGGAGTGCCCCTTGAGGGTTTACCCTCTGGGGTGGGCAGGAATCAGTGACCTTTAGGTGAGGCCTGATGAGGGGAGGGGAGCCCCATGCTTGGGCCCAGGAGGCCAGTATTGTGCAGGGGGAGGTGCTGGGCCTCAACCACCTTCTTCCCACCCACCCCCCACCAGCCCTGGGGTCAGGCTGGTGCCTGTTCCTCCCTCACACCTTTGGCCTTGGGCAGCGGGGGTGCTGCCACTACAGAGAGGACTGGCCCTTGAAAGGGTCTGGGCCTCTCACCTCCACATCCTGGGTGGCGTAGTAGGCTGGCTCTGACGTGCAAGCCCCAGGCAGCACCCCCAGGGTGTCAGCTGGCCTCAAGTGCAGCACTGAGTGAGAGAGGCACAGGGCGGCCTTTCCTCTGCTCTGCATGGGAAGTTGATACCCTAAAAGCCAAAGGCAGAGGGTCCCCTGGAGTTGGTTTGGGGGCCGCAGTTGAGAGTGGGGCTGAGCCAGGTGCTGCTGTGTCCTAGTTGCTGACTGTCCACGGGCGCACCAAGGAGCAGAAGGGGCCCTTGTCGGGCACCGCGTCCTGGGAGCACATCAAGGCTGTGCGGTGAGTGGACACGGGGTGAACCCAGGGCAGGGAGACAGCCCAGCCCCAAGGCAAGGCCCTCAGCCCTTTGGGCACCAGGAGGGGTGCTGGGCCTGGGGGTGAACAGCACAGTGGGAAGATGGAGTTTGGGGGCCTGGCCCTCCCCCCAGGGTTGTGGGGGGAAACAGCATCCTTCTGAGCATCTGCCCATCCTGTTCCCCAACAGGAAGGCAGTGGCCATCCCCGTGTTTGCCAATGGGAACATCCAGTGCCTGCGGGACGTGGAACGCTGCATCCAGGACACGGGGGTGCAAGGGGTCATGAGTGCAGGTGAGGCTGTGCCCTTGCCCACAGCTGGGCCACCACTGGCAGATGCTGGAGGGGCCTGTTTGCATCATGGCACCATTGGCCCAGCTGCAGAGCCTTAGGCTTCACGCTGTCATCACTGAAGTCTCCATCTGCCTGATGGGCCAGAGCTGTCAGGCCAGTGGCCAGCCTTGCCCTTGCAGTGGCGAGGCACGGGGGCCCCTGAGCCTTGCATTGCCTTCCTCCTGCAGAGGGAAACCTGCACAACCCTGCCCTGTTCGAGGGCCGCAGTCCTGCCGTGTGGGAGCTGGCCGAGGAGTACCTGGACATCGTGCGGCAGCACCCCTGCCCTCTGTCCTACGTCCGGGCCCACCTCTTTAAGCTGTGGCACCACACGTGAGTTGCCCCCCCAGGGCAAACGCTGTCTGGTCTGAGGCCTGCCTGGAACATTGGGGTTTGTTTGTTTTTTTCTTAAATTTTTTTAAAAATTTATTTTATTTATTTATTTTTGGCTGCATGGGTCTTCATCGCTGCGTGCGGGCTTTCTCTAGTTGCGGCGAGCGGGGGCTATGCTTTGTTGAGGTGCGCAGCCTTCTCATTGTGGTGGCTTCTCGTTGCGGAGCACAGGCTCTAGGCGCGCGGGCTTCAGTAGTTGTGGCTCGCGGGCTCTAGAGCGCAGGCTCAGTAGTTGTGGCGTATGGGCTTAGTTGCTCCGCGGCATGTGGGATATTCCCACGCCAGGGCTCAAACCCTTGTCCCCTGCATTGGCAGGATTCTTAACCACTGTGCCACCAGGGAAGCCCTGCATTGGGGTTTTTAAGACGAGCTCTCCACAGACATTTACAAAACCACCTGCCACCGAGTCTGGGAGGGCCGCGGTGACATGGTGAGGTTGGGTGGGAGGAGAGACCGTGCTCCTCTGTGCCCAGGGCTCAGGGTTGGTGGTTGGGAGCTGGGTGCTGGGTTGGCTCTGTGATGGGGCGTCTGCATCAGGCTGCAGGTGCATCAGCAGCTTCGAGAGGAGCTCGCCAAAGTGAAGACCCTGGAGGGCATTGCCCTAGTGAGCCAGGAGCTGAAGCTGCGGTGTCAGGTAGGTGCTGGGCTAA